GAGTGGGAGGGATGTTCCAGGACTGTTGGTTTCTGATGACTGGGATAAATTCAGATGCAGGGCACAGTAGGATTCTCCTATAGGTCCACCTGTGGAAGGTTGAAGTGATGGTATATGGAACGTGACAGGAGAGAGGGGAGGGCCTACCTACCAGGAATAGCAGAGGAGATTCTGGGAGGGGACTGTTTCCAGGAATACCTCCCCTCCAGACCCAGGGAGGTTAGCATCAAATTAAGAATTCTAAATAAAGGTAGAAGCGAATTTTGACCAAAGTGATAGAATTCTAATCTTGGTTAAATATATCAGGTTATTATTGTTATTATTAAAAATTTTCGTAACTAGTTACTAGATAGGATCATAAACGCAGGTGAAAAGAAAGAAAACAGACGTAAAAGGTGAGATGAACGTGATAGTTGTTATTAGGTGATATTTGGAGGATGTATTAGATACAGCAAGTGCATTGATCTTGGGACATGCACAGGATAGTCAGTTTTAGAGGCATCAAAATAAAAACATCTCTTAAGGAGTAGATAACTTTTCAGAGTTATTGACTTCATTTTCTTTTCAAAGCTACTCTATGCATTTCTCTGATCTCATTAGCAGGTTATGCATCTACTGAAGAGAAGAAAAGACTCTCCTGGTTCCTCTTTTTGGTTCTAAGCACATCTTCCTTTATTTCCAATATCTTATGGCATTTATATGTGTAAGAGTTTAAGAAGTAATACTACCACAGTAGTGTCGATGTCGCAGATCTTTGAGATACAGGGTCAGTGTGATATAACTGAAGGAAAAAAAGGCACAGCTGCTGCAATTTTTGTGAAACTCTCTTTTATGCTGCTTTTCCAAATAGACCTTTTATGAAATTAACATCTCTACTTAAATTTGGTTACAAAAATAAAGACTCTGCTTGTCTGTGCTACACCTCACAGCAGTTTTGATTATACTGACCATGCCAGGTATTGATGTCTATATTTTTTTTCTCATTTTATTTCTCATGCAACTTTCCACATAAGATACCATTACCAGCAAAAGCCTATTTGTAGATAGAAATTACTGATTAATGAGAGAAATTTTTTTACTCTTCTATTTAAAAATAAAAACTACTCATAAAATCAGATACAGTCCATCTATTTTTGAAGTTCCAGAGAAGAAATCATTTAGGCCCACAGGACCTTTGATGTGAACTGATTTCTGTAAAAAGCCAGTCATTGTTTACTTGAACTTTGGGTACATTAAGAGGCAGAAAGTGCCACTGAGCCATGGGGTGAGCAGAATATGGGAGTGAGGGCTTCTTTTTTACCCCCAATCCTTTTCCTGATCCCTCAAGAAAATGTGTTTCCCTCATGTTGTCCTGGAAGTTAGTCTGTCCCAAAGAGACCTCTCCACAAGTCCTTAGAAGTTAACAGATTATAAACCTTCAAAGTCATGAATTCGTCTTTCCACTAAGTCAACCTTGCCCAAGCTGTGGGGCCCATATTTGCACTCTGAAATGTTTTCATAATTTTAGCACTCAGAAATTATTCTCCTAATAAGTGGTTCCCTGCACTTTCAACATTGTTAGAACTTTAATCATATGATATAGTCAGGATTGGAAATATTTAAATGACTTTCGGTGGTTTGTGAGAAGAAGCTTTCATAGAAGTGGCTATGAAAGGAAATAATGTAATACCATGATTTCATTAAGTGAAAAAGAAAAACTCCCCTTTAGTTTGCATAATCTTTTGAATACTGAAATTGTACACGAAAGGAAGAGAGTGGGAGAAGGAAACTAACGTATGTTGAGTGACTTCTGTATACCAACCACTTTTTGCAGTGTTTCTTTCTTTTCCTGCTAAATTACACAAAATAGCACTTCAATTCTATTCTTTTTTATCTCTCCTCCCTCTGATTATCACCCCCTCTTGTCTGCTCACCCTGGTCTGCTCACAATCTTCTAAAGAAACTTGTATCCTCCTAGAGTAGAAGTAGGAAAGGGAGAGAGGGTTTCAGGACCGGGGAGAGGAATACAGTGTAGTATAACTCAGACATCCACTGATGGAGAAAGTGCTAATTGGATTTGATAATTAGGGCATTGGAATCTTTTCTAAAACGTTTTGTGTAGTGGTTGAAAAGCCAAACCCACTGCCATCAAGTTGAATCCAACCCATGATGACCGAGTAGGACAGAGCAGAACTGCTCCACGAGGTTTCCAAGACTGTTAGTCGTTATGGAAGCAGACTGCCTCATCTTTCTCTTGTGGCCCAGCTGATGGATTTGAATTCCCTACCTTTGGATAGCAGCCAAATGCTTTAACCACTGTGCCATAGAGCTCAGTGGCTGGACAGGAAACCAAATTTTAGTAGGCTGAAAATTGAATTAAAGATGAAGAATTAAAAAGTATCGACTAATTTTAGGGAAGGAGCTCTGGTAGCATAGTGGCTAAGCCACTTGACTGCTAACCAGAAGGCTGGCGGTTCAAACCCACCAGCCACTCCTTGGAAGGATGGTTGGGCATTCCTACTTCCGTAATGATACTGCCTCGGAAACCCAAGGAGGGGTCGCTATGAGTCGGGGCCAACTCGACAGCAAATAACAACAACAACAATTTTAGGGGAGGGAGGAAAGTTTGGTTCTGGAAAGAGGGTAGTAGAGGTTATTGCCTTTCTGTTCTAATAATCTGTGGGAATTTACGTGCAGATGTATATTCTTAATAAGCATGTTGTGAACTCAAAAAATCCAGTAGGGCATTGCTCTCTAAAGCATGAATTTCCTCTTTAGTTACTTAAACTCACACACCATTTACTGGGAATAGTGTTCCCTAGACTCACACCTAAGATCCTGTTAGTTATTTAGGGATAGGTTCCATGCTACCCTCTCTGATCAAGAGCATAATGGAATTGAATTCTAGTATTTTGAAACGTACACTAATTCAGTCTAATTCTGAATAGTAACAATGGCTGTCCATATAGTTATTTTTATGGAGGTAACTAAAATACATTAAGATGTCACATGCAAAAACTTTCTGCTCACAATCCAAAGCATAAAGGAGAGCTTGTTGAATTTGGAGACAAATAATGTGGCATTAGGAAAAACCATTGGATACACTCACTGTGAAATACTCAATGTTGGGTGCTTTTTACAACTTAATTGCTTCCTGAATTGAACTCTAGAAGGCATTTTCTTTTAACAGTCACAAAATGCATTTTGATAAGCAGCGAACAGCATGTAGCTCTGGGGTTTTCTCAGCTAAGCACATTGAAAAGAATCTGTTGAAATTTTATTGTCTGTTGATAAACACTTTGTACGTTATTTCAGCCAGTTCTAATTAGATTTATTTTTAAACTCAGTTTCTGTAAATTGTACTGACAGTAAACAATAAGATCAGATGATTATTCTAATACAGAAAACATAAACACACCAAAACTGCTTGTACTGCATTGTCATGGCCTCTTAGTGCCTGCTGAGCCATGCTCTCTGGATGGGAGTTACAAGACCCTGGGAACCCCTGCAAAGAAAAGGCAGTTGTCATACAGCCTGCAAAGTTAAAAAATATTTTAAAGCTACATCCTCAGTTATAAGACAAAGCTTTGTTTTTCAGAAATACATCAGGATGTAAACCAGGTCGGTTATATTCCAGAGACACATCAGATAACATGAAAAACTGCAACATGAAAATTCCTGCAACATACTTTCATTGCCTTTCTTTCCATTTTTACCGTATGGGTCTTCTCCAAAGCATAGTAGGAGCTTTGGCAATAATTCCAGGCTTGCATCTCTGTGTTGTTTTTTCTTCACTCTCTTATTGGTAGTTTACTCTGAAGCATGAATTGTAAGCTCAGTGCCTGGCTTACTCATTTATACCTCTTCTGGACTGGAAGAAACTCTACGAGGGCCAGGTACCATGTCTTATTTCTCTGTGTTCCTAAACCAAAAAAACTCACTGCCATAGAGTTAGATCCAACTTACAGTGACCCCTCCTTGGGTTTCCGAGGCAGTACCACTATGGATGTAGATTGCCCAGTCTTCCTTCTGAGTGCGAGGTGCTCATTTCATGGACCTGAGCACCACAAGTCTTCTGTGTATTCCATTCTTCTGTATGCTCTTTTGTACCTTCAAATTCTTCGAATGCTCTTTCCAAACAGCAGCAGCTCCTGAGCGTGCCAGAACTCGTAAATGTTAATAGTTAATGATAATTTGCCTATTGAAAGGTGAATGCCCCAGGGGTTTAAGTCCGTGGTACTTTTCATTAGAGAAGCATATTGATGTTCACACGAATGGGAATGTGTTCCTTCCCCAGAGCTTGCAGCTGAGAAGGGAAATGCCTGGTCCTCTTGGAAGCCCCACTGTAGGCAATGAACACATGCTTATGTTTTAGGACTAGAAACTTGGGAGTGAAGGCGGAGTATATTGCAGTGAAGGAAATAGTATATCAGATGGGGTAAGATGGTGTAGATTCTCTTTTAAAATGCTCACATTTCTGAGAGAATTGTCTTAGTATTAAACTCCCATAAATTGAATTTGCAACAGGTAAGTCGTGAATAATTTATTACTCTCCTTACAGGTAATATGTTCTCTATCTGGAAGTGTTGACATGAACCTAATTGTCAAAATTCTTATTGGTTTCATTTAAAATTTATTTTTAAAAATTAAATTAATTTCTCAATACCCCATCCTGTGGAAAAGTAATCCTATAGAAGAACAAATTGCTCTTCGGAGGCAATGGTTTCGTTTTTCTGCAGTCAAGAAGTTAATAAGAATCTGCCACTCCCCCTGGTGAGCAGTTCACACATTCTCAGCCAGAGGGATTAGATTTTACCACCAGTTTTATCTCCTTGATGGTGAGCCAATACAGTGTTAGCCTGCAAAATGTTCTATCAAGCTTCATCACCACCCTTCACTCTTAATGTAGGTGTTCTTAGAATACGTCTTCTAGTGTAAGTAGTGTGGTTTTCAAAGCATTATTGTTTTAGTAGGAATGAATCCAATTGAAATTCACTGTAGTTATTTTTTTTTCCCAACAGGTTCTTAGCATGATAATCAATGCCGCTTACAAGCCTGGAAGGGTGTTAAGAGAATTACAACTGGTGGAAGATCCACACTGGAACTTTCAGGAGGAGACACTGAAGGCAAAGTGAGTGTTTTCAGTTCTAGAAAACAAGGGTTTCCAAAGTACTTACCCTACTGCTTACAAACTTCTTGTTCTTTTTGACATAGAACAGAGAAACAGAAGCAATGTTGTTCTACAGTTTTCTATGTAGATTTATTGGTGGTGGTTTTTTTTTTTTTTTTTTTAAAGAGTTGTGTTAAGCTTTCAGACTCTAAAGAAGAGATTCTCTTAATATGTTACTAAGTTAAATGTCAGAATTGTTCATTCAGAATAAAACTTACTGTGTTGCAGGGTCAATAGAATATCTGATCAAAAGGCAAAAAAAGTATAAAGAGGATATCCCTTTTCCTTCTTGCTTTCAATTTCAGAGTTCAAGAAACTCACAGCAAAGCAAAAACCTTTAGCCTATTTCCAAATAAAGGAAAGAAGTGACTGACTGACTACATGCCGCCCCAAAGCCCATTGCCATTTTACATGATCTAAACCAAATAGATGTTTTGATTTCTTTTTATCTTTTAAAACTGTAAACTCTCAGAACAGAGAACATATTTATTATATAAACTCGTTCTAATATCAAGTATTATGAAATGTTAGTGAATATAGTATAATACCAGAAAAACCACTTTATAATACTTGATATTGGAAAGAGTTTATATAAACAAATATGTTCTCTACTCTGGGTTTGGGGTTGTGTTTTATAATTGTTTTGGTGTTTCAAGAGAGCCTTCGATATTCATTTATGCTTTTCAAATGGAATAGATCTAACTGGTCAGCTTCTTTTATAACCATTTCCTAAAATATCATTTAAATGTAACACTTAGGAATTGAGGCTTTTTAAAACAGTGGACCACTTGTCCCAGCTAGAGTATTACTATCTTCCTGTAAACAAGGCTGGTCTATCTACTTCCATAGTGATACTGCCTTGGAAACCCAAGGGGAGAGTTCACTATGAGTCGGATCCAACTTGATGGCAGTGAGTTTGGTTTTGGTAAACAAAGTACCTATCTCATGGATGAAGAATATTGAAGAATATTAAATAATTTGTATGGCCAGTTATATTTCCCTCTGTTAACTCATACTTGGTACTGAGTGGAGGTATTGTGAGATACTGTAGTGTTAAAACCAAACTCACTGCTATCAAGTTGATTCCAACTCATAGCAACCCCCTTTGAGTTTCCAACGTGATAAATCTTTATGGAAGTAGATTGCCCAGTCTTCCTTCTGCGGAGTGGCTGATGGGTTTGAACTGCTAACCTTCTGGGTCACAGTCAAATGCCTTAGGCACTATACCACCAGATACTGTCAGCAGTCAATTCAGCATTTCTGGTGTCTTTTTGAACATCTCTGTAATTTTAGATTCAGTATATGATCTAATGATACTCTGCCAAATCACAGCATATGTCACATATTTAAATTTATGTAAATTATGTAATAATAAAGAGAAGAAGGTTTATTTTTATAATGAAAGGTGGCTCTCCATTCTTTCTTTCTTTCCAAAGAAATATTTAAATGAGTTTCACCCAGAGCTTTAAAAAATTTAACAAGTTTTATATGTGTGTGTGTGTTTAATGTTTCATATTTTTCCATTTTATCTAAGGGAGAGGTCATCAGCAGTACTAGAACATTTTCTTATAAGGTCACATCGTAGTAGTGGCAGAAAACTTACAATGGTGTTAATATGGAGAAATTCTTAGTTTAAAACTTTTCAGTACATCCAAAAATACACCTTATAGATACACAAATAGTAAAAGCACAAAAATCTTAAATGGCATTAAATTCTTCCCTGCTCCCAAATCAGCTGGAAACCTGCTCCAGACATGAAAATGACAGGGATAGTTCATTTTGCCGAGTTTGCACTCATTTTCTTGTTACCAAGTCGATCAGCACTTTTATTAAATCCAGCCTGATACAATCAAAACAGACATTGTAAAATCCAGCCGTACTGAATTGTAAAGGCAATGTATTACCTATTATATCAAATATGACAGTAAGTTCCATAGCAAAATCTTACACAGCAACTTATAATGAGAAAATGTCTGTCTAAACTGGGTTTCAAGTGTGTTAGATCACAGTAGCATCTCAAAGCAGCTGCTAATGATGACAGGTTTACAGTCAGTAGGCATGTTCCTGTTATAATACTATGTGTTGAGTCACCTCATTCTTTCTGATACAGAATTACTACTTTTTAGATCTCGACAACTTCGCTATTTTCTTTAGTACAAATGGAAGGAGAGAGAGATTTGGCTTCTTCCCATTTAGCTAAAAGGCAGAAATGCTTTCGGTCATGAATAAATTAGCTTAGCAGAGAGTAGACCTGCTTTTAAGGTATTCACTTCATTGTATGTAGCTAAATTATAATTATAAAAGGTACTTTCAGGAAGAAAGGACATGAGATTGTCCCCAGGGCAATGGAATTGCTGTCACTAAGCATCTAGGGTTTCTCTTTGGGGTCTCCCTCCCACTACTGAAGATTAAATTTAAGACCCATTTACATGAGAGGACTGAGGTGCCAATCTAGAGGTGTAAATATAATAAAACTAACACTGTCATCTACAGTTTGTCTCTCACTGACTTTTCCTATTTATCCAACAGTCATACATTTTATCCTTTACTAAAGAAATTATTGCAATATTTGTACAACATGTAAGAGGTCTGTCATATACAGTCTTCAACATGTTTTAAAAGGCAAAAATGTACTATTTGTAGTGCAAAGGTGTAAAAACTGCAAGGAGGCCACATGTTCTGACCTCCTCTAATCCCACAAGAGGAAGACAGGATTACCAACAGTAACCCAAGGCCTACTACTGCAAGGCCAGACATGCTGCCTCCCTCCAGCCCTTTCTTCAACCGTTCCTCCCAAAGCACCCACCACCTCTCTCCTGGGCTCAATAATTCACTGCAGTAGCCACACAGAACTCACAGAGTATGGGGTTTATTAGGGAAGCACCAGGCTACAACTCAAGTTCAAGAAAAATCTCAGTCTCTCTCCCAGCCCACCGTCCCTCGGCCAACAGTCTCTCACAGTCTCTTTCCCAGCAGCACTGGTCCCTCGGTGTCTCACTCAGTGATGCGTGTCTCTTGCGGCTCTTTCCCAGCAGCACGTGTCTCTTTCAGGGGTGCGTGTCTCTTTCGGCAGCACGTCTTCCTCCACCAGCAGTCAGAGAGAGTTCTGCCTCCAGGAGGCCTCCTTTTGAGCCTGGAAGGGTGGTCAAACTAGCCAATCACAGCATCAGAACTCTAAGCACGTGAGAGAGAGTGGGAACTTCCCAGAACATTGTATTGTGCCACGCCCAACAGAAATAACCCAGGTGGGCGACTTTAAAATCAGGATCTCCTCCATAGCTAATAGCAATTCCCACCTTAGAGTTTACAAAGACTTATGGGTAGAAAAGCCACACTAAGTAATTTACTACACCGCAAAAGGGAAAAATGAATTTTAATGTTCATTCCAGCTATTCCGAAAGAGAGAATCATTTCTGATGAATTTAAGTGTACTAAATTGACCTGTGTTATTTTGAATTGTAGGAAGAATTTAGACTATATCTTTGAAGAACAACAACAACAAAAAAAAAACTTAACTATGCAGCTAGAGATATTTAAATTTTTTTTTTGACATGTTATACGATCTTCTTGAGAAAAAGAAAAGACAGAAAAAAAGTCCTGTGTTAACTCTGGGAAGAATGGGTTTTATGGTAATCTTTATAAAAGCCAAGTAGAAACTTAATAGATTCTCCCAGTACTTTGTTACAGCTATTCAGAATATTTAAAAAGGAATTATCCTAGTATAATTTCAAATTAATTAAACTTCATTATAAGGAGCTCTGGTGGTATAATGACTAAGGCATTTGGCCATTAGCCAAAAGGTTGGTGGTTCAAACCCACCAGTCCACCGCTCTGTGGAAGAAAGATGAGGCAGTCTGCTTCTGTAAAGTTTTATAGCCTTGGGGATCCAATGGGGGTCCTGTGAGTCAGAATCAACTCGATAGCAATGAGTTTGGTTTTGGTTTATCGCTTAGGCAAAGGTAAGGAGATAAAATCAGGTCTTCACTTTCAGGTGAAACACAGTCAGTTCTATGGAAATTTTATATTGGTTTCTTTTTCATGAGCCTACTTTTGCATGTCCTTTTGTTTATTTGAATTTTTTTTTTTTTCTACTTTTACACATGCCCGTATTTTATGAATAGTAAGATGTACTGTTTGGCCATAAAATGCTTTACATAAATAAAGGATTCCAAACGGAGGAACTTTTCTCTGAAAAAGGATTTTGTTTTGTTCATTTGTTCATTTTTGTTTTTTTTGTTCAGATCTGTGCTGTTTGCTTTCCTGAAAATGTAAGGTATACATTTAGGTGAAGAAAGATGAATCAATCTAAGAGAAGACTGAATTTCTGTGTGTATCTGGTTGTGTGTATGTGTACTTAAGTTCAACAGACTGTAGGTGTGATGTGTTCGGTTCAAAAACAGACCAGTTCAGGATGTTCTGAATTAGAAGTGGTATTTCCAAACATATACGTTGACTCACTCACTCACTCCATTTGTTGTAGAACATTTCCACTAATTGATACTAGAAAAAAATCATTGATTGTGCTTTGCATTTTACTCGACATACAGGAAATGAGAAAGAATAGAGAAATTTTGAAGAAGTTAAGTATTATAACCAGGTTAAAAGTAAGTGAAGAGAAACAATGTATTGATCCTAGTGCCTCATGATTGAGAAGAATTGACCAATGAAAGAAAAGCCTTGTGTTGAAGGAACACAGAACCATATCTTACTATTGCTAATGAGAAGAGTGATTTTCCCATGGCATGTGAAGCTTCCTTATGTTTACAGGATGATCAGGGTTTTTCTTTTTTCCTTTTAATTCTTCCTTCAGTATTCAAAGATGTCAATTCACCTTGAAGAAGTGGAGCCTTGTCTTCTACTCTCACCTATACCACTAAAAAAAGAAAACCGAACTCACTGTCGTCAAGTCGTTTCCGACTCATAGCGACCCCTCCTTGGGTTAGCAGTCAGATGCCTTAGGC